CTGTGACAGGAGGTAGGAAAACACATGACAAAAGGTGATGGGAAAACACATGGCAACAGGGAATGAATTCAGGGGTCTTTGACCATCACAATAAAAGACAATGGCTTTCTTCTTCAGTTGTCATTTAAAAAAATAATTTGTCATCCAAAATGAAGTTTTAACATTCAAATTAAAATTAGGAATTGAGAAAGGAAATAAATGGAATTTAAATATTTGTAATTAACAACCTTAATTAGCATTAAAATAAACTGGCTTTATAAAAGTTCCACATGAAAAACATAACAGAGTAACAGCCTGTTATGCTGCCTGAAACAAATACGCTGCAAATTGGGCCGTTACGCTGTTTTTAAGGGCATGTAGTGGGAAAATATTGAACAAGCGCTGATAGTTTCTCTAGTGTCGTCTTTGCTGCTAACACTGCTATTCGCTAGCGTATTCGTATGCTGTAAAAAAGAAGAAAAAAAAATCCTGGTGAGGACCCCGATATTCAAAATGATTTCTTCCAGTTTAAAAAAAAAAAAATAAATAAATAGTTTTTTCTTTTAGAAATGTGATTTTCAATTACAATTTCCTGTTTTTTTCAGACATGAGTTTGTGCTTTTAAAGTGGTTAATTTTTTTGCTGTCAAAATTTTCAACTTTTTACACAAGTTAAAAAAAAGAAGAATTCCTTAATTTTGTGAATGAACAGCAGCAGTTGTAAATTGAAATTCTAACATGTATGACTCATCCTTAAGCATTCCTTTGTGCTGACAGAAGGCCCTCACAGAGAATATCACAGTATCAGCTTTAACAACAATGGTTCATTTCAAAGTAAGCCTGGACAGATTTCCTATTTTGAGTTTTAAAAGCACTCAAAGAAAGGAAGGGCTGCAGATGCTGCACAGTTGCTTTCTTTCTATCCTCTATGTTAAATGTGTAGGTTGAGTCATAGACTTTAATATTTGACGTGTCTGTCAATTAACGATCTGTCCCCACAGACAGTTTTATTTATTTATTGTACCGCATTATATTACTGCAATATACTTCAGCCTGGATACAAACACAAGACAACCTTAATTAGCTTAATGTTGGTACATTTAGCTTTTTATCAATCTAGACCAGTGGTCAGCAACCCGCGGCCCTGGAGCCTCATATGATTCTTTTATACCTCAGCTCCTTGTGGCTGTGGAAATTAAATGATGAGTATTACATTTAAATTTATTTTATTTTTATTTTTATTATTCTAAATTTGAAGATTATGGCAATCTTGTAACATGAAAATAAAACCGCCTATGTGCGACACCCACCGGCACGCACAGTGTCGCCAACTCGGTGACTTTCTCGCTATATCTGGCAACTTTCCAAATCCTCTTGGCATCTTTTTTTTTTCTTTGTCAAAAGCGACGAGCAACAATCTAGCAACTCTTTCTGGTGTTATTGGAGACTCTTCTGGTGTGTTAAAAACTGACGTGAGAACACATACCGTTCTTTAGTACTGTCCATAACGAGCAGCGAGTGCTGTCATGAGCTTCTCACCGTCCCAAAGCGCTCACAGGCGGTCAGGAGTCTGGTGCAGCAGCCCCAGCTGCAGTCAGCAGGCCAACCAGATGTCATTTTTACTTTGCTGCAGGTGGATAATTTAAGTTCGGCTTTTTATTTCATATATAGGAAGAGGATTCAAATAGACTTGAGTATTTTTTTTTTAAAGTAACCCTCAACACACTATAGTTTTTCAATAGTATATAGGTAAAAAATGTCAAAAGGGTTTTGTGGCTCTCATTTTCTTTTCCGTGGGGAACGGGTCCAAATGGCTCTTTTAGTGTTTAAGGTTGTCAACCCATGATCTAGACCAACCAGCTAACTTAGTTAGCATGGTGCATCGGTAATTCAGCTGTAATATTTACTTTGACAACTCTCTTCTCTCGTCAGTACATGCAGAAATAAAGTGCACCAACTTCTGTGGTGCATAAAAAGTGAATTAAAACCAGCACCTTTTAAGAAAATAAACATTTACCTACCAAACAGGATATTGAACTGATTTCAGGGTTTGATGGTACAATCAGCCCAATAACAGTTAATAATTGCACTGAACTAAAAACTGATTAAAACAAGTGAAAATATACTGCTAGTACACCTATAAATAGAAAGTCGAGTTCACGATAAATGTCATGGCTGCCTCGGCCATACGACCAGTCAATCAAGCAGCCACACCCCCAACTTTGACACCCTACATTAAATTAAGTATAGCATTACTTTCAGTTGAGGGCTGAAAGGTGGCTCGGTGGTTAGCACCATCACCGTGCAGCTAGAAGATCCCCGGTTCGCGTCCCGGTTAGGATGCCTGGGATCCTTCGGTGTGGAGTTTGCATGTTCTCCCCGTGCAGCGTGGGTTCTCTCCTTGTTCTCCAGATTCCTCCCAAGGTCCAAAAACACATTGAGATTAATTGGTGATTCTGAATTGTCTGTAGGTGTAAATGTGAGTGTACTTGATTGTCTGTCTCTATGTGTAGCCCTGTGATAGACCTGTGTCCCCTGCCTTCGCCCTGAGTCAGCTGGGATAGCCTCCAGCCCTTCGAGACCCTAGTGAGGATTAAGCGGTGTATAGATAATGGATGGATGAATGGATTATTTTCAGATAGATCACCAGATCTCTGGTTTTGGCCAGGAAAATAAACAAAAAAATTCTCACGACCTGTGGTCAAATTGTCTTTTCTTGACTTCTCATTTTTGGGTTTAACATTAGTGTCTACTGGAGCGAAGGCTTCTTGGAGTCCACTCATGATGGCACTAGTTGTTTGCAGGTTTTGACACTGTCAGGTTGGCTTCCCTTTTCAGGGCTGGTTGCTGCATCCATCTCTCTTTTACTGTCCAAGGGTAAGAGCTCCAGAAAATACACAGGGACAAGATACAGCAGACTAACAACATCCATCCATCCATAATCTATACACACAAGGGTCGCTTGGAGGCTGGAGCCTATCCCACCTGACTCAGGGTGAAGGCAGGGGACACCCTGGACAGGTCACCAGTCAATTGCAGGGCTACACTTAGAGACAGACAACCAAGCACACTTACATTCAAATTTACAATCACCAATTAACCTCAACATGTTTTTGAACTGTGTGGGAGGAAGCTGGAGAACCTGGAGTGAACTCACACTGCATGGGGAGAACAAGCAAACTCCACGCAGAAAGATCCCGGGTGTCCTCACCGGGATGCGAACTGGCGACCTTCTTGCTAGCCACCGAACCACCTTGCAGCCCAGACTAACAACATAATACTTCATATTAACAAACGAAACAGCTGGGTGTGTGCCTGGTAAAACAGACTGACATGTCTCACAGCCAACTATATGGTATTAGCTCCAGAAATGATTAAAACACAAAGTTATTCAGCTAAATATTATTTAGCAGAGACACCCTGGAGCTAATTTGTAAAGTTACAATCAAGCTGGCAAAGTCACTGACACATGGTGAGCTAACAAATTCTGTGCAAACAAGCCATTATTATCACAAAAGCATTTTGCATGTACAATATTTTGATATAGCATAACGTCTGCAAAAGCAAGAAATTTGCCACCAAAATCTAACTTATTTAGCATTTTAGCAGAGCTCATTACCAATCGACACCTCGATTCTGCTGGAGCTTTGATTAATACATCATAAACAAGGCAAATAATGGCAAGTGATGTCCAGTGTGTTGGCAGAGAGACAAACATATTATATAAGCCACAGTGTCCCAAACTATCTTTGTGGTAGTTCCTGTTACATGTAAACGTGACCACATTTTGCTATTAAAACACACACAAAACTAATTCCACTATTGCAGCTGATAAACCTTGTCCAGCAGCTGTTACAGTGAGCTGTAACTTGTTTTTGTAATACGTCCAGTGACTTGACAATCCATCAGGAAAGCACTGTTATTTTTTAACGCTTTAGAAAAATGAAAACAGTACTTGCTTGTCTGATATTCAGTGTACAAACAACTCTTAACTAATGAACGACTCTCTCATATCCAATTAAAAGGTGTATTTTGTGTGTTGTGAACTGTGAGCAAATGTAACTAACAAATATGTTTGACGAGACAGATGCTGTGTCCCAAAAATGGTAAATTCTGATGCAACAAAGGTCAAAGCAGAGGTAAAAACAGTAACAAACTTCATTTGTATAGAACCTTTGACATAGCTGAATATATCCGAAATATCCAAAATATAGTTTTGTGTGGTTACAATTTTAATAAATAATATCTGTACTGGGATATTACATTACTCACAATTCTATTACAGTATGTGGCAATTCAATTGTAATAATTCAGTTAAAGGTATCGATAAATCCCTTCTGACTAAACGAAATGCACAGTATACAATAGATTACACTCCTGTGCAATATCACTTAAATGTCAAATGATTTCAAATTTAATTATCTCTCAATAATGGCCTTTGTTCTAAGTTGGTAAGCATTTCCTATTATGATCAATCAAAAATAAATATATTCGATTTTACTGAAACTACAATCCCCAAAATAGAAACTCTATGCAATGAAAGTGATGACACCTCTGATGACTGAATATAGAAAACCTGTGATCACTGAAATGAAATTGAGTACATCTGTGATTTCCAATAAGCCTAACTGCATGAACATGGTTGTAAAATGATCTGTGAATACCAGAACTTTCGCAGCTTATGGACTGTGTCTGTCTGCATCATGGCTCCACATGGAAAACAATTGCTAGAGGAAGAGGAAATGAAAAATGTAAATATAAGACTTAAGTGGAAAAGATACAGAAAGATAGGTGACCAATTAAAAAAGAAATCTGTGGAAACACAGTTACAGCAGTATTCAGGAGGTGTAGAATAAGCCATAGCACCACAGAGCTGCAGTGGTCAACCTTCTAAAATAGCTCCAGTGCTCTACTTGCACAGTCTAGCTCTGAAAAACTAACAGACAGTGCAATGGACACTACCAGTGATGTGCGGTGAGAGCCTCACCTGCCATCATGGAAAGGAAAAAAAAAAAAAAGATAAAGTCATTTAAATGATAATTTGTACTATAAACTATTTATTTTTTTAATTTAGCCTCACCAATTTTGATGATTTTGTTTTTTATTCAAAATCGCTGAATTTTCGCAATTTCCCTTTCAAATGATTGGAAGAGAATGTGAGGCAGCAGCGAGCTGAGCCTCACCTTGGCTTGCGTAATCCCTTGCTAACTACGCTGGCTGCCATGCAGTGACAGCATGCTGCTGTCTGTATGTTGCCAATAAAACATTTCAAACACATTTAACATATGAACTGATTTTCCATAGTTTATATAGTCCATAGTAGCTGATGTATATAATAATGTACAGTGTTTTTTTTTTTTTGGCACCAACTGTATGTGTGTAACGTGTTTTGTATGCTGAGCCATCATAAACGGCTGAGAAGAGATTCTAGGTGAGGCAGGCAGTTCTCTCGCACAGTGAAGGAAGATAAGTAGCACTTTTACCAGAAAGTAACGGATATTTTTGTGCAGAAGGAGTGGCGCATGGACTTTATTTATACGTAAAGGTAACAGCAAAAAGGTTTGTTTTGTTTGTTTTTTTTTAAATGAAATGTGCGTTTTGTGGTCTACAGTTTGTATGTGTAAAGAATGCAGACATGAAACATAACTCGTAAACTGCTGCCAATCAAATAGCAAATGAGCTACTCTGTAGAGTGCATACATTTGTAAATCGGATTCTGATGAAGTCAGTGCCTCACCAGCCATGAACCTCACCGCACGTCACTGGACACTACATTACATCAACTTCTGTGGCTGGAAGAAAAAATATGAAGCTTTGCTAAAGAGCTTTAAAAGAAGCCTAAATAATAGTGGGAGCACATTCATTGGTCAGATGACACCAGGATAAAATGTTTTTGGGTCCAGCATGTTTGGCATAAACCTAACCAAGACTACCACAGTAACTGTATAGTCCAAACAGTTGAGTAGGGAGATCGGAGTTTGGGGACATGACATTTGTAGACAGCACCATGAATGGCTGGGCATTTACAAATGTACTTTGGAACAAGATGACTCCTGGATCTCCAGTAGCGTGGCAGAAGGAGAATATTCCAGCATAAAAACATTTCAAAGCCTGCTGCAAAAATCACACAAGAATTTCTAAAAGGACAAAAGAGTAAAAACTATGAAAAATAACAACAACCTAACTATGTCACCTGACTCAAAACCTATACGACATCTTTGGGGTATTTTAAAGAAAAAAATAGTGCACTGCTCCCTTTTCATTACAGTGACCCCTCCAGCAGAGGCCAACTGAATAAAATTTCTTTTGAAAATGGCAGAACATCACTCTCCCAGTTTGTGCAAACTGGTATACTACAGAGCTGCAAGGTGGCACGGTGGTTAGCATCATTGCCTCACAGCAAGAAGGTCGCCGGTTTGCATCCCAGTGAGGATACCCGGGGTCTTTCTGCATGCAGAATGGGTTCTCTCCGGCTGCCCCCCACACAGTCCAAAAACATGTTGAGGTTAATTGGTGATTCTAAATTGTCCTTAGGTGTGAATGTGAGTGTGCTTGGTTGTCTGTCTCTAAGTGTAGCCCTGTGATAGACTGGTGACCTGTCCAGGGTGTCTCCTGCCTTCGCCCTAAGTCAGCTGGGATAGACTCTAGCCCCCCTGCGACCCTAGTGAAGATTAAGCGGTGTATAGATTATGGATGGATGGATGGTATACTCCATGCTCAGGAGGACTGAGTCTATCGTCAAAAATAAACACAGCCATACAAAATATTTTAAAAACAAAAGTTTTGAATCCTAATTATGAATTGACTTTCTTTGCTTTGCAATAATTGTATTACATTCACTGTATTACAGTTTAATAATTTAGTAATACAATTTTGAATTATTTGGCATTTATGTGATATTGCATAGAGGTGTCAAAATTGTTTTATTGATGTCTTTTATTAACAATTCAACAGATCAAAGTGTTGTTTCCACAAGTGAAAGCTAAATTGCTGGTTGTCTGCCCCACTGATTTAATTTTAAAAGCGCTTGGCATAGGCCTGCATGCATACTGAATTGCACAGGACTAAACTAAGACTGGACTTGTTTGCACTGCTCATATAGAAATTGGGCCACTGATATGTTGGGGAACTTAACTGTACACATACTTAGATATTTTCACATTCCCGTGTGTGTGTGTGTGTGTGTGCTGGTAGTAGTTTTTTTTTTTTCCTCTCTTTTGCTGCAGTGGAACTTAGATACCATGCTGTACCAAAACAGTTGCCAATAACACTGTTTTGTGGCAATAAAGAAAGTGTCAACATCAAAATCTAATCATAACTAGGACTGTTGACAAGTCTGATAGTCAGGGTGAGGTTTTTGAGTCACTCTGTTTGCATGGCTCTCAACATGATATGATAATGGGACATTTGACCAATAAGATATTGTTAAATGTGACAATGTTATTTTAACATTAATATTGTTCCTGCATCACCACAATATATGGTGATATACTTTAAAGGAGTGGATTTTTGACATGAATTGAAAATAAAAAAAAAAAAAACATTAAAAAAAAAAAGCAAAATCACTGATAAGTATTTTAGCAGCAGTTTCATGTCCTCTGGACACAATATTGTCTCTGCCTTTATATTGTTTTCTGTTGCAAAGCAAAAAAAATTAATATCACCTTTCCCTCTATTGTCCCACAGAATCCGTGTGACAATTAATGGAGAGTTCCTGCATTACATCTATCCTTTCCAGTTTTTGGACTCACCTGAATGGGACTCACTCAGACCGTCAGAGGAGGGTGTATTCCAGGTTCATTTTAACTACTGTACATGTGCAAAAATACTTCAGAAATTAATAACTCAGGATTGGGAATTTAGCAAACTGTCAGCAGAAGTCGAGCTTTTCTGTCTATAGCCCCAACTTTAGGTCTATGAATCTTCATTAGCCCAGAAAGCATGTCCTAGTTGACATTGTATGCAGTATATAGATAGGGCCAATTTATGTTTTCTATGTTGGTATGAGTAGACCGATGTTGGCTTCGAAAAGAGACTCTGCGGATGTGCATGTGCTTCTGTTCATGCTATTGTAAGTCTACAGTGGTCTGCACAGACGGTTGCATTGCGCCCCATATTGAACACAGAAAAATATATGGATCAGTTTTACAGGAGCAGCCACATACAGATTGGGCTGTAGCACAGGGGTCACCGAATGTTCCTCAAGTGGGTTGAGCACAGTTGGACACGGGATTTCTGAAAAATTTAGAACTTGCCACTATTGCAGTTATTGTGTATGTTTGGTGTGAGTCTAAAAAGTAATACAGTAACAGTCAAGAAATTTGGACACGTTCTTATTAAATGTTTTTTTTAATTACTTTAATTATTTTCTACATTGTAGTTTAATACTGAAGACATTGAAACAATGAAAGAACACATATGGAATTATGTAGTAAAGAAAAAAGTGTTAAACAAACCAGAATATGTTTTATATTTTAGATTCTTTAAAGTACCCCCTTTTGCTTTGACAGCTTTGCACAACCTCGGCATTCTTTCAATCAGCTTCAAGACTTAGTCTCCTGGAATGTTTTTTTAGTTAACAGCTGTGCCTCATCAAGAGTCAATTTGTGGAATTACTTGCCTTCTTAATGTGTTTGAGACCATCAGTTGTCTTGTGTAGAGGTAGGGATAGTACACAGTGAATAGCCCTATTTGACTACTGTCGTAATCCATAGCATGACAAGAACCACTCAACTCAGGAAAGAGAAACAAATGTCCATCATTACTATGAAGGTCAGTCAGTCCAGAAAGTTTCAAGAACTTTGAATGTATCCTCAAGTGCAGTGGCAAAACCCATCAAACACTATGATAAAACTGGCTCTCAATCAGAGTCAGTAGTCTGTATTAGAAGGTTAGTAGGAGGCGACTTTTTTCACTGACATGGCATGTCCTTTTAATAGCGATCTCGTGGATGAAGGTGCAGTATTACTGCGCAGAGAATTAAATATTGGTCTGGAGATGGCTATCAGACCGCCATAGATGTTCTAGCATTTCAAGACAGTTCTCTCTTTGAGCAGTACAGTTTCATGTCATAGTCCATCATCTACATCACATATGTCAAAATCTGACCCGTCATGTCATTTTATGTGGCCCGCGAGAGATATGTGTTTCTTAAACTGATAAATTAATGGGATTTACCTGATATAAAATAATGTAATATAATGTTATTTATGCTATAATAACACAGCAATGTGCCTACACAGGGCTCCAGACTGCGACCAAAATGTTCTCATGTGTGACCATTTCTGAGTGTGTGTGAGCTAAAGTGTCACATGGTCGCATTGTGCGAGTGAATGATGATCATCAGGCTGATCTGGTTCCTTCCGTCAGCACAGGTAGCTGCTGCACCAGTTATTGTGGTTGGAGATAGTCATATTTCTTCCACATTGACTCAGTCTCTCTCTGCCTGACGGTAAAACAGTCAGTTTCACTGTTACTGTGTTTCAATGACACAACGATACATGGCCGATTGTGTTTCTTTTTTTTAAAAAAAAGCAACACGTGAGGGGAGAGAGGGAGAGGTCCGACACACCTGATGATGAAAGTGTTCAGGTGAAGGCAGACAGATCTTGACTGAGTCAGTCAGGAAGAAAAAGTCGCCCCACATTCAATCTGGAAGATTCAAATTTTAACAACGATCACAATTCTGACTCTATAAACATGATGGCCAGTGGTCTGGACATTTAAAATGCGCTCACAACATAGAAAAATCAGTTCATAGAAACCTCTGCTAGAAAGGCTGCTAATAGAAAACTTTTCAACTTGGGCAAATTTGTGTAGAATGCGCTTGCCACTGTTTTCCAACTAATGTTTGGTCGCTTACCTGTCAGAGGAGCTGCACTGCAGACACCTGGTAGCATCTAACGGAGCAGCATGTGAGGCGTTCAGGGAACATCGGTAAAATGTAGTATCTAACGGAGCAGCATGAGAGGCGTTCAGGGAACATCTAACAACACAATAGTTGTACATAGAATAAATAACAATCAAATGCAGAGACAATTATATAACAATATGTAAAGGAGTTGTTACATTTATACAGTCTTAGAATTACAACTGGCCCTTTGAGGTCAAACATAATGTTTATGTGGCCTGGGATGAAAATGAGTTTGACATCCCTGATCTACATACAACCTAATATGTCCTTGCCGGTGCAGCATCACTAACCGTAGTCATGCTCTCACATCCCAACACATATCGTGGTGCTCAGGACGGCTGAGCGGTCTGAGGTAGTATGTTCAAGTCACGATCACCCCTGGAGGCGTGGATTTGAATCTTATTTTTGACAGCTGCTGTTATTAAAATTTCCCCTGCGGGGAAGGTTCAATTCAATTTTAATTCAATTCAATTTTATTTGTATAGCGCATATTACAACAACAAGTCATCTCATAGCGCTTCACAAAGGCAGAGACAGAAACACCCAAAAATCCGAAACATTTGGATTCCCTATAAGCTTCAGCAGTCCGCAAGCAGTCCACAAGGTTTAAAAGGTTCTATCTATCTATCTATCTATCTATCTATCTATCTATCTATCTATCTATCTATCTATCTATCTATCTATCTATCTTGTGTATTGTTCTTTGCGAATGGAAGTTTTTTCTACAATATCGGAGATGCAGAGCACCTGTAGTGCAGGCCGAGTAAGGCACCTGTATGCAGGGCGGTCAGAACAGTGTGCTTCACCCTGAAATGTCTTTTACCATCTCTGTTGTTTTCCCTGGATATAAACCTGTCAGAGCCATCAAAGAGGAGCTCTAGTGGGTGGAAAATGCAGCCCTCCGCTTCCCCCTTGCATGGTGACTCGTCGAATCGGGGTCTATTGATGCTGGCTTTTTATAGTTGTGGTGCATGGGCTTAACTCCAGGTGAAACTACTCCAAGTTGATTAAATTAACTCAGATCCACTGTTGTGGAACCGAAAACTCAGAGTTTCCAATCTCAGAGTAGAGCAACTCAAAGTTCAGGATTAGACTCTGAGTTTGTTGAACCTGCTTCGTGAAACGGACCCCAGTTCACTTCCATACCCGTTGGTTTTGCATTCATTTATTAAATGAACTTAGTTTTCATCTAAACCTGTTCCTGTCTGCTGTGGTGTCTGCATTTGGGTCCAAACCTGAACTGTGACATACCTAACATACCTATTGTACTCACTGAATTCATATTCAGCTAAGAGAAGTGCTAGAAAAGATGTGGAAAGTGAGAGCAGCAGTAATACAAGTAGTGATCACTACAATTGCATCTTTGTTTAATTTCAGAGTCAAAATATCACTGTCCCAACATTTGTGGACCCAACTGTAAATGTCATGCTAGGCTACATGTACAATAAAATTTGGAAACAAATCCAGTTGATGACCATAAATCTTAGTAATGTTTGACAGTTTGATCAGTTAAGAAGTGAAATGTCATTACAGGATTATTTGTCGAAATCGTAACTTCTTCTGTTTTTCTCTACGCAGGTGACCCTGAGTGCTGACAACCCATGCCGATATGTGGCGTGGAGAAGGAAGAAACTCTACCTGCTTTTCGCTAAGCATCGCTACATAGCCAAGATCTTTGCCTTGGTTGTGCGCAATGACATAGCAGAAAAGCTGTACTCGCTCAATGACAAGGCTTTTGACAGAGCCGGGCACCGCTATGATCTCCGCTTACCAAGTTACTGTCACATACCAGGACCGAATTAGAAAAGACATATGACCTCCCACAAGTGCTAGCACAGGGTGTAAGGTTTTCCTGAACACATTCATACACTCTCCTAGGCCTTAAACACTTAGAGCTGACTCACTGCATGTAGAAATTAGTTTTGGTAAGTCAAGGTGAAAGAGTGTTAACTAAAATCCTATCTAATTGTTGGCTTTAATAGAATTATACACAATACAATGTGTGTGCGATACCCTTAGAAAGCAATGTTCTGAAGAAAATTTCTGTGTCAAAGACAGAAGAGTATCCAGCACTGAATAGTAACATACTGTTTGAACACCCTGACACAATAAAAAACATGAGTGTCAACTCACATGATAATGTCCCTCGTTAATCTCTTAATTTGACTTTCTGTGGTTTCAAATACACTGCTCAAAAAAATAAAGGGAACACTAAAATAACACATCCTAGATCTCAATGAATGAAATATTCCAGTTTAAAAACTTTATTCATTACATAGTGGAATGCGTTGAGAATGTAACAAAAATGATCAATGTAAATCAAAATCATCCCATGGAAGTCTGAATTTGGAATCTTACTCAAAATAAAAGTGGAAAATCACATTACAGGCTGATCCAACTTCAGTGGAAATTCCTCAAGACAAGTCAAATTGAGGTTCAGTAGTGTGTGTGACGTGCACATGCCTATATGACCTCCCTACAACGCCTGGGCATGCTCCTGATGAGGCGGCGAATTTTCTCTTGAGAGATCTCCTCCCAGACCTGGATAAAAGCATCAGTCAACTCCTGGACAGTCTGTGGTGCAATGTGGCGTTGGTGGATGGAACAAGACAGGATGTCCCAGATGTTCTCAATTTGATACAGGTCTGGGGAACGGGCAGGCCAGTCCATAGCATCAATGCCTTTATCATGCAGGAACTGCAGACACACAAGGCCTAGCATTGTCATGCATCAGAAGGATCCCAGGGCCCACTGCACCAGCATATGGTCTTACAGTGGGTCTGAGGATCTCATCCCGGTACCTATTGGCACTCAGGGTACCTCTGGTTAGCACATGGAGGGCTGTGTGGAAAGATGAATGCGACACCTTTAGTCGCATTTCACTCTGAATTCTGGTGAGCATCCGAGGCCTTCTCAACTGCGTGCGAGGATCGGCGTGTGCCGAGAGCAGGCAGAGAACATGCGGTAGGGCACTGGGCATTACAGTGGCCTGATCCAGAGGAAATATTCTATGTGTAAATGTGTGTGGGAAATCAAGCATGACGTGTACTCTAATTCAATTCAATTCAATTCAATTTTATTTGTATAGCGCATATTTACAACAACAAGTCATCTCATAGCGCTTCACAAAGGCAGAAACAGAAACACCCAACAATCCAAAACATCTGGATTCCCTATAAGCTTCAGCAGTCCGCAAGCAGTCCGCAACAGTGGGAAGGAACCGAAAACCCCCAACTCTAGGTCTGCAGTGGGCGGACCTACTAGATAGAACTGCCCCCAGCTGGAAAACATTACGCACCTGGCAGCGCACTGATTAGAATGATTGTAAAGAAATATTTCATGATAGGAAATGTTACCTTCGATGAAACAGGATTACTGCCAATAGGATTTATTCATAACTACGAACTACATGCGCTACTCATAGCTTTTTGGGCTGATAACATTTCGTTAGTATCAGGGCGAATGTAATGTTGATATGCTCCAGAGCTCCAGCGACCCATAGCCTTGATTGTCTATGATGGAGCGACAGAAGCTGCAGTAGTGGCTGCACCAATGCAGAGAGAATGAGTCGTGTACTGCTTGGGAGAGAGTCCACATCGTTGGCACAGGATCCAAAGGCTAACTGCTGATTGGTGCCTGCAGTACTCAGACAGGTGGGACTGAATTACTTCGGAAGCAATTAAACAGTATTTTCTAATTTCAGAATAGCCCGAGATGACCAAGGACCGAGTTGCCGCTTTTGAAACACACAGTAGTTAAACAGTTTGTTTTAAGCACCAGGCAAGACAGACTGACAGCCACTTAGGTTAAAAGTGCAATGCAGCTAACGTAGCAGCTGCTCATCCCTGGTTTAAAGCGACAGCTCAACAGCTTCATGATTAACCCACACAACTGAAACCATCCGAATTTTTCTTTATTTTTTATTTTTTAACTGTAGTTTTCTCAAAATTGGTCTCAATCTGGAGCCTCGGCCCAGAGGACTGGAATTGTTAGTGCATTAGGCTCTGTTCATGATCATGCTCATCTCTGCACTGCTATAGATCATGTTGCACCTCCACACCTTCAACTGCACTATCTGATAATCTGTATAAATGAAAATATGAATATATCTGCAACCTCAATATTCTTGTTAACAAACTACAATTTTGTTTTTTTTGGTTTTTTTTAAATTAAAGTTAACTTTAATTCTTCACTCCACAACTTTTTAATTTTATGTATTAGCTCCAACAGCTACCTTAAACAGTCATGGCACTGTCCTATGAAGGCCTTCAATCTTTATTTGTTTTCTTAAATTATTTATTTAAAAACTGATCTTTAAACACGAACATCGAGACTTTCCTCCACAGCCTGATTGGATGAGCTAAACAGAATTAAGGAGATTGATATTACCTGCCAGTGTCTGGCTACACAGGTGAGGGTGGAGGAAGCGTGCCACGCCAGCGGGGTCACTGTGCTGTGGTGGATCGGCTGTGACGTCACTCTAGGCGGAGACAGCGGACTGAACCCGGAGTTGTACAGCAGGTCACAGACGCTGAGGATCCTGGGGCCTCATTTATCATCAGTGCGTAGAAAAGCTTCTGAATTCTGTCATACGAATTAAATTTAGAGTGTGCATAAGTACAAAAAAATCTGTATTTATCAAATGTGCGTACGGGGGTCGTACGCACATCAGTGTTGATTAATCCCCCTTGTTCTTAACCTCCGTGCTCGTGCACGTTGCCTTCAGGAACACCCCCAAATCACCATATAGGGCAACAACACGCCTCTTTATAAAGCAAGTGAAGATTTATTTTTTCCTCACCTGCCGTCATCATCATGGCAAAAGGGCGAAAAAGAGGAACTCTTCTGAAACTGAGATCAAGGTACTTGTCAGCGAGGTTGAAGCAAACCAGAAAATGTTGTTTGGTGCGTGAAACATTGGGATAAGCAGCGAAAGAAGAAATATTGCATGGGACAAGATAACCACCGCAGTTATTTCTGTTGGGTCAGAGGAGACATCGCTGGCAAAAATTTTAAAAAGTGGTTTGACGTTAAGCTCAGTGCCAAAAAACGCATCACAGTCCATAAAAGAGAAATGGCTGCAACTGGAGGAGGACGAATTAATACCGAACGTTCACCCAGCGGGCAACCCTGATCACTACAGATGACATGTTTTAATAACCAAACAAATTCCAGCTAAAACATTTCCACACTCTGTGACAATCACCATTAAGCCAGCCGTCTTCAGCAGCTCCTGCTTGGAGACGCACCCACAGAACTGTTCTGCTCAATGAATGAGTCGTGCGTTCCTCCAAGCCGCCGGACAACAACGTTGGATAGCCACAAATGCGCATCGCAAATTATCAGTATGTTGATTGAATAAAACTCTTTTCTATTTACAAAAATAAGCTTGTTTAGTGATGCTGCTTTGATTGTGATGTGAGTGCAGTCTATGGCTCCACATATGTTTGGGAATCCAGCGACGGCGTTAAGTCCCCGTTTGATTTGGGCTCATCGGTGATGGCTGTAAGGGAACTGGATGTAGGCTGGGACCAGGGGAGTTATGGCATCCAACACTGCCGGCTTGATAGTGCTCAGTAGTGGCTGGAAATGCCACATATGTCTCCAACCTCACGCTGGAATGTGCTGGTGGTCAAAATCCCCGAATGCTTTCTATTTGTAGTTTCACTGTTCTACCGCTAGATTATGTGTGTACACATGGTCAGAGGTGTGCATATATTTACGCACAGTCCTAAGTATAAGAACAAGTTGATAAATTCCATACTTTGCGTAGGAATGTTCGTACGCACACTCTACGCACATATCTGTGCGTACACACTGATGATAAATGAGGCCCCTGGATCGGGGCTTGAATAGAGTTCATGATGAGTAGAGGAGAGACTGGTGCCTGGTGTAAACTCGACAAGGGGAGAGGGACAGAGAGCAAGAGAGACAGGGAGAAAAAGAGGGAGGCACGCAAGGGCTGGGGCTGAGGCTGGGGGGTCATGACAATTAATTACAAATTATCCCTAACATTGAGATTTCAGGTTTTTAGATCAGTCAGGATCTAACAGCAAGTCAAACCAATATTATTGGTATTATATTACTATAAAGAGTTGATATGTTTATTCAAGTCTAAATATTTATATCTATATTTTCTGTTAAATACATTTTTTATGAGGCAGATTTTTCAGTTTGACAGAGGGATATTTGCAGCAGTGACATAATTATTTGTATGAAAACCTTACAAAACACAAGCAGCTGTTACACACATATCCTACATTTATATGCTTACAAGCTTCTCTAAATGACTCCTGAGATGCACTGGGACTATTCGGACCACTGATGATCGCCTCCTTGCATTGCAGTAATGAAGACATACCTCGTTCTTATACACAAATGGCAGCAAATTTACGACAGCCAGAAAGAGGAGAACATATAATGTTAAAAAACATATTAAAGTATTTGAAAGAAATAAACAATTTTCTTCCGCTAAGAGCAGAAATAAAAAAACAGAAGTCTCATAGATAGTCGGTTAGTGGGTCACGTGTCAGTTTAGTTTCGAAGATGATTTTCAGAGTGAACCTGTGTTCTGTCTCCCCCTATTGAACCTCCCAGGGACCACTTTCGCCTTCTTTCCTATTTTAGTCTCTCCCCCTCAGCTATGTGGAATGTGCGACGCACATTGTGCAGACTCCTATCAGAGAGTCAAGCCTGCAGGCACCAACAGCGACTCAAGTCTTTCACACAAACCTCGTTCTTCTTTACTGTTCAGACCTCCACCGGCTGCTGTTCAATCGGTAAGTAGTCTAATAAAGTCTTTACCTCTCCGTACTATGATAAGCAGTTAGAAGTTGTAGCTATGAGAAATATCTCTTAAACTACAGGACTGTCCCTATCTATTTTTACATGTGAGTGCTCCCTGGAACGGAAAACAAAGCAGCTGCTCCTGTCACAGCAGGAGCATTCTGTGCCATTTATAATTATTTATAAAATGTGAATATTCTGAGAGCATCAGTTAATCTTTGAGCACAACATATACAGTCATATGTACATAGCTGCTTTCCTGTTAATGTTGTTGACCCACATAATGGTTTCTCCATCCATTTAGATTACATTTATATATTGTTTGTTTGTGAATTGTCCAAGTGGTTAAAGCCATATAAACAATCTTCATAGTTGTACTTTCAAGCTGGAGATGTAGGCACTTCCTCACAGCTATGGTAGGAAAATAGCAGTTTTGTAGTTTTGGATATTTATATAGTGACTTCAAAAGCCTTGTGGGTCACCATCTAGATTAATTTTCAAGAAGACAGGATAATTGCCAGTTCTTTTTGTCTCTTTTTCAAGCAATAACATCCTAATAAAACAGTATTTTAAAAATGAGTAGAAATACAATAAGTTAATCTCATTTCTCCAACCATACCCCTGCATACCCCTGTAACTCTGCAGCAGGATGTCTTCAACCCCAGAGCCACCCCTCCTCTTCAACGTGTTGCCCTTGTTCCCCTCATCTACTCCAGTAGTCCTAACTGTGGAGCCCAATGGCACCTCTTGCCACGAGTGGGAGCAAGCCCACCACCTACTCTTCCATCTGGGGAACTTGTCCCTGCTGCTGGGCCTGATTATCCCGACCACTGTGGGCCTGCACATGATTCTGCTGCGCCTTGTCTTGATGACAGGTCAGTTTATGGCATTCCCTACTGACAGCATTCCTTAGATAACACTGTCACACAGAACAGTGGGGAAAAATAAATCACCATAACCTGAGCAGATCTTTACTCTTATTGAAAATGCCCTCTATATCAAAATTGTTGGTACATTATTAGCAAAAGTTTGTGGAAGATTTGGTTTAGTATAGTTTACTTTTGATAGAATAAAAACCTGGTCTGTACAAAGAGAGGTCTCGTCAACAGAGCTGAGGCCCTAAAAGGCTCTTACATACAGAATAAAGCAGGAGAGACTGGGGGATGGAAAAAGCACTTCCAACATGTTTATCTTCTACTTGGAAGGAAAGTGGAGACAGGAAGCAGCAGGCATTATGGGAAATGTGGTTGTTCTTTGGACAATTCATTTGTTTATATTGCACTTTGGTCGAAGCCAAGCTAACCTTAAAAGGGAAAGAAAGAACAGAGGAAGTAAACTAATAGACCTACAGCAGTTAAGCTTGTAGAGCAACTTTAAAACAGTTTATGGTTTTATTGTTTTCATTATATTTATACATATATAATTTCATCAAAGAGATGCTATCTACATGTGTACATGTGTCAGTAAAGTATTTGGCTACCATGTGCCACCAGAATAGCTTCCTTGCTCCTCTATTGCAAAAGTTCCAGAATAAATTTTCAACCAGTTGAAAACTAAATGATCTAATTCTGAAGTAATTAAAAATTCTATTTAGAGAGAAATGAGTCCTGAATCACTATAAAAATAATGTCAGTTTAACATGTTTTTCTTTTTATTGTATTGTATTTTATGGCAAGTTAGGTTGTATCTTGAGGGTTTTGCTTTAGCTATATGTGTTTTAGTTTTCCAGTTGCCCTAACTCATAAGCAAACAACAATAGCCCACATTAAAATTCATGGATTCCTTGACATGGTAAGAACTAGTAACCACATAAACATCCATCCATTATCTATACACCACTTTATCTGCACTAGGGTTGTGGGGGGCTGGTGTCGATCCCAACTGACCCAGGGTGAAGGCAGGGGCCACCCTGGACAGATCACCAGTCTATCACAGGGCTACACAGAGAGACAGACAAGCACACTCACATTCGCAGCTATGAACAATTTAGAATCACCAACTAACCTCAACATGTCTTTGGACTGTGGGAGGTAGCTGGAGAACCCGGAGAGAACCCACACTGCACAGGGAGAACATGCAAACTCCACGCAGAAACCTCCCAGGCCCAGATTTGAACCCAGGACTTTCTAGCTGTGAGGCGACAGTGCCAACCACCGACCCACTGTACCAACAAATATATATTGTATATTAAAAAAAGGCTGAAGTATTCCACTTTGATTTTAGACTAACATTTCAGTGTCCAAACCTGTTCTCATTCCATCTTTTTGTCTTTAATCCTGATAGGATGTGGTCTCTTCATTGCCTGGGCAACTCTGTACAGGTGCAACATGGATGTGATGGTTTGGAATGTGGTATTTCTGGTGGTAAACTTCATGCACTTGTTCTTCCTTCTGTACAAGCGCAGACCGGTGAGTTCTGCTTCAGGCTGCCCTTATTCACATTCCACCAGTGACTGTAGATTCAGATCATTCATGTATGATTCAGGCTTTAGGGGATGGCGCAATGTTGAGATTTTCCACCCCTGTTTCTAGGGGTCTCACATAATCCTCCTGGGGTTGGGCCTGCTTTATGGTAATGACATGTACAGCGGGGAAAATAAGTATTGAACACGTCAACATTTCTCTCAAAAAACATATTTCTAATCGAGCTATTGACATGAAATTTTCACCAGATGTCGGCATCTACCCAAGTAATGCTCACATACAAAGAAATCCAAACATTTATGTCCATAAATTAAGTTATGTGTAATAAAGTG